ACCTCCTAGTACTGTGGAATCTGGCTGCTGGAATAAAGAATGACAGAATTGGAGTGACCCTAGGATGTGGAATGCTATTCCTGAAAAGACCCTTGCAACACAGAACATAGGTTAGAGTGGGATGTTAGGACATAGACTGGCAGGGTTGAGTGGAAAGAGTGTTCAATTTGAAGACCTAGGCATAAGCCCTGCATTGGCTGCTTGCTCCCTGTTTGGGCTTAGGCACGTCACAACCCCTCTGGGTCTCAGTTTCTTCATCTGTAAATGAGGAGGTTGAATCTGTTGACCTCAAATGTCCTTCCATAGTTAGATCTGGCAAGAACATTTTGATGTTGTTAAGCTGTTTTTCAGTTGTGTCTGACTCTCTGTGACCCCATTTGGGATTTTCTTGGCAGAGATACTAGACTGGTTTCTCTTTTCCTTTTCCAGCTCATTTTACAGATGAGGAAACTGAGGCACACAGGGTTAAGTGACTTGCCCAGAGTCACACAGCTACTAAGTCTGAGGCCAGATTTGAGCTCACAAAGAGGAGCCTTCCTGACTCTCTGCCTGGCACTGTATCCATTGCACCACCTAGCTGAGCTACAGCAGGGGCCACCTAGTCCAAACGCTTCATTTTACAAATTAGGCAGCTGAGGCCAAGAGGAGGCAAGGAACTTGTTTACCACACAAATCAGTGTAGAGCCATAAATCCCCATCTCCTTATTCTTAATACAGTCTTCCCTATTTTACTTGATGGCCTTACTAGGACAAAGGGAGAGGCACCATGGAGGACAACTAGGGCCAGAGAAAGGTCGCTGAGATTGAAATCCACATGCCCAGAGCTCTGATCACTGGGACACAGGACATGTTCCCCACTCCTCTCCTGTTCCTCCCCCCATCTTGCAGTGATCACGTCCCGATTGAATTAGCTGGCTCTATAGACAAGAAGCCAAGGTAACTGCATGGGAATGTAATTACAAATGATGTTTATTACCAAGCCCTAATCGCATCAGTCTAAATGATAGCTTCTCTTCCTCCAGCTAATAATCAGATATTAGGCACTAATCAGGGCCAATCAGCCAAATGCCTTTGGTGGGAAGGCCTGGTGGGAGATCTGCCCAGGGCCAAGGTTGGAGCTGGGCCCCGAGCATTCTACCCATTCAGGGAGTGCTTTCCCATTAAGAGCCTAGTGCTTCCAGGAACAATTTCTTCCCCTCCTCTCCTCCCATTCCTTCTTCTCTTCTTTCCCTTCCCTCCTTTTACTCTTCCCTTTCTTTCCTCTCTTCTTCCCCTCCTTTCCCCTTCTTGATTTTCTGTTCCTCTCCTTCCCACTCCCTTCTCAGCTTTTTGTCTGTTCCTCTTTTCCATCCATCTTTCCCTTCCCCTTCTTTTTTAAAGAACAAGCATTTATTAAATGCTTACTATGTGCCTGGTACTGTGCTAAGGGCTCTGGGAGGTAGGTGATATTCTTATTTATAGCTGAGGAAACTGAGGTAGACTGAGGTGAAATGACTTACTCAGGGTCACACAACTAGTATGTATCTGAGGTTAGATTTGAACTCAGGACTTCGAGACTCCAAGTCCAGGGCTCTATCCTCTCTAGGGCTGCCTTCTCCTTTCCCTTCTTCCTCCTATCCCCTCCCTCCTTTCTTTTTTCCCTTCCCCCCATCCTCCTCACCTCCTGCTCTTACTCTTCTCCCACTCTTTCCCTCCTCATCTCTCTTTCTCTTCTCCTTTCTTCTTTCTCTCCCACTCTCTCCTCCCACTTACTTCTCTTACTCTAAGCTGAGGAATTCATAGAATGTCAGAGCTGAAAGAGCCCCATAGAGATATAATAATACTCAGCGTTTCTATAGCTCTTTCAGGTTTTCAAGATGATTTGCATATTAGGTATACTCATTTCATCCTTACACCAACCCTGTGAGTTAGGTGCTAGATAATTTCTGGCATTTATGCAGCACAGTTTAAGGTTTCCAAAGCACCTTACAGATATTGATTTTAACTTCACAACAATCCTGAGAGGGAGGTGCTATTATTATCTTCATTTTATAGATGAGGAAACTGAGGCAGAGGACTGTTAAGTGACTTGCTCAGCATCACACAGTTAGGGATTGAATCAGGATTTGAACTCAGATCATCCTGGCTCCTGTCCCAGAACTCTTTCCACTGATCTAGTCCCCTCTTTCAATTTATTTAAAAACAAATCTATCATATACTTGAATCACCTAATTTCATAGTGGAGAAAGGAAGAAAGGAGAAAGGAGATTAAGGACCAGGACCCCAGTTATCAGGATTCCTGGTCAGTTACTTGTGACTATTACTCGGAGCTCCTGAGCAGCTTCCCTATGAGCACTCAGGTACAAAAAAGAGAGTGAGAGACTTGTTCTGTCCTTTCTTTCCCTATATTTGGACCTACAGCCAGTTTCCTTACACATACCTCTTACCAAATAGCTTCAGAAACATTCAGGGGCTCTCTGTGGCTTGTTATTGTTCCATTATGATCCCATTTGGGGTTTTCTTGGCAGAGATTGTGGAGTGGTTTACCATTTCCTTCTCCAGCTCATTTTTACAGATGAGGAAACTGAGGCAAACAGGGTTAAGTGACTTGCCCAGGGTCACACAGCCTCTATCTTAACTTTCCAGTTTCATTTTATAGGACTTTTCCACAAACTACTCTAGCCACACTGGACCACTTACTCCTTACTGTTCCCAACACCAGAGAGATCTTGTATGCACATAGTTGTTTGCATGTTGTCTGGTCCATTAGATTTGGGAGCTCCTTGAGGGAAGGGACCAGGTTTTTGCCTCCCCCCCAATTCATAGCCCTTAGCTCAGTGTCTGGCACATAGTCAATATTTAATAGATGTTTGTTGACTAAATGCTTCCCTCTTTCTGAAATATCTTCCATCCTCTGATTTCTAACTTTATTTAATTCTTGCCTTTTCTTATTCAACTTTTCTTTCATGAAACATTCTCTGATTGTTTCATGTGGCGACACCCTCCCTCCTGAGATCTTGGGTAATATTTTGCACCTCTCTGATACACTTTTCAAGTGATGTGTATTATCCTTATCTATGTTGGAGTCTTATTCCACTACTGTATTAGAAGTTCCTCTAGGGAAGAACTCATCCCTTATCTATACTATATTTCCCCCAAGGTTCTACCTCACTCTCCTTTCTCCCTCTACCCACCTCTGCACACCCTGAACTGAGGATAGGATATACAACATTAGATTTGGAATGTTCACTCAATGTTTCTCAGTGCACATCTATTTCCTCCTTCTGTCCAGGTGGTTTTTAGCACAGGCCTAGACAAAAATAACTTCTGTTTAACTCTCTGATTTTTACCCAAATGATTCCCACCTGGAAGATTCTTGTAATCAGCTGTCACATCCATTCTGGTCAGTCCTGTAATTAGCCCCTCCAGGACAAATTCAGTGCTTTTGTGTATAGACTTAAGGAAGACCGGGACAATCAGCCCTACCCTGGGTGCAGTCCTACCTTTGTTTTGGGAAGTGGGGCACTGTGTTCCCCAGACAAGCCTGATTCCAGCTGGGAACCAAAGGCATAGCTTTAGTTTCAGAACACCCCCAGCTACTATGGCTGAACCAGACCTATGAAGTACCATGAAGTAATACCAAGGGGGCCCCCAGGCAAGAGGAAAGCCAGCTACCCCAAACTCTCCTCCCCCCTAAACAAAATAACCCCAAATTTGTTATGGCCTTGCCTTTAGTTTTTTGGATTTCTTTAGACTTCTCTTCTCAATGTACATAGATTGTTACTAGTGCATCCCCTTTCACATACACTTAAATCCTTTAAGCAAGAGCTCCTTTGAATGAGGTATAGTTTTCTTATGGCATATTCCATTTGAGTCCCATTCCAACAAGTGTCCATGATTTCTCAAAAACACATATGCGGCCTGCAAAGGTGAAGTCAATTCCCTAAGGTCAAACAGCAAATCTGGCAAAGGTCTGATTAGAACTCAAATCCTTGGACCCCCAATCCAGTGCTTCGCTCACCATCACATCACGTGACTTTTTCCCGAACAATCCCTCCCCGGTATCACCCCAGGAAGAGGGGGATAACCTTAACCCCATTTCTCCCTCCTCCCACCCCCCTTTCACTCTTCCCCAGTCCCAGGCTCTCTCTTCTTCCAGGTTCTCTCCCGCACTAACCGTACAAACACAAACCCACCCCGGGACGTTATTGATCTTCAGGGAGAAGACCAGAAAGTGTGCTTAGAAAGACGGGGGTTATCTAGTGCCCTCCCCAGTCAGCAGGGCCAAATGAGGGCGGGGAGGGAGGTGGCTAGGGCGGGAAGAAACTCGGAGCTTTGTGCCCGCCCCCGGCCCCCGCCTCCGCCCTCCTCGGCCGGCCAGACCTGCAATTGGCGGCGGGGAGGGCAGGGCATGGAAGCTGGACTGGGCACTGGCCCCCGACAGTTCGGTCCCCGATTCTCCAGCTCGCAGTCAGTACCCCTAACTCTCCTGGCGTCCCAGCAGGCGAGCGAGTGATGAAGAGCTTGATCATACTCTTCTTCTGTAATGCCAGGTGTACACACAGTATACCTCAGCGCACACCCAAGTGTGTGCCCTCCCGTGTAACTCAGCCCGCGCACACACATACCCACGTACGAACACCCATGTGCACACACTCATGCATACCTGTGTACACACAATCTGCTCCTCAAGGTGCTCACCACCCCCGTGCACATACGCACAGACTCACGCACAGACAGACACACAGACACGCGGATACGGCGCGCGCGCGCACATACACACACCCAGACTCAGACACACGCACACCCACGCACCCACGCATGTACGCTCCCTGCCTGCCGGCCCCCGGCGGCTCAGAGCCCGAGCCCGAGCAGGGTCTGTGGCGGGGTAGGGCCCCGGGTGCTGGGCGAGGGAGGGGAGCCGGCGGGGGCGGGGCGGGGCCGGGGGCGGGGGCGGAGGAGGAAGCGGAGGAGGAGGAGGAGGAGGAGGAGGAGGAGGAGTAGAAGAAGAAGAAGAAGGAGAAGAAAGACAGCCAGAACGGCGGGTGGCTCCTCCCGGCGCCCGCGCGGGGATTTTCCAGCCGTGGCTCTGACGCCGCCGCCACCGGGACCATGGGCGACCGAGGGACGCGGTGAGTGTGCCCGGCGGACGAGGGGGCCTGCACGAGCCCGGGTGGCATTGCTTGGGTGCGGGGGTGTCGGCGCCGGGCGGGGGAAGCCGGTCAGCGGACAGGGAGGAGGCGCCCGGCCCTTCCTGGGGATTTCAGGATGCTGCCAACGCCGAGCCTAGAGCTCACCCCGGGCTCCGGCTCCGGCCCGGGCTTGGGCTCTGGGCCGTCTGATCGGCTCCTTTGCTGGTGGAATGGAACTGGGGGGGGCACACATTCCTACTTACACCTTCCGAACCATGCATGTATTAACGTTCCCACACTCATTACACACAGATGTGCACATCGGATTCACGAACATCACATTCTGCCTCCCCCACACTGGGTCCCCGACTTCTCCCCCATTTCTCCTCTCCTCCGCTCAGATTCTTCCCGGGTTCCACCCTCCCGCCAGACCGCCCCCCCCACCCCATCTGTAGCTGTGGTTTGGTGGCCAGATAATTAATTGGGTGGAAAGGTCCCATTCTGACTCAATTTCATCTTCTCCTTCCACTACCTAGGAGGGAAGCCCCAAGCGAGTGGGTGTCGCAGAGTGACAGTCCCCGGTCCCCCCCCCTTGCCAAGCATGCCAATGTGTGCGGGGCTGGCAGCTTCCACTGCATCCTTCCAGTCCCCCTTCTTCCTCGATGTCCCCAGGGATGCCCTTTCCCTTTCTGGAGGCCCAGAAAAGGGCAGGACTGGGGACTGAAATGGGGTAACTCTATGGGCGTGGGGGTGGGTCAGGCTTTCGTGATTGAATTTGCCATTAGTGGAATCCCAACTGGCCTAAAATCCTGGTCACTACCTGTTTGACCTTGGGCAAGTCACCTAACATCTGGTCCTCAGTGTCTTCATACCTTAAATGAGAGGTTTCACTCCAGGTGATCTCCAAGGTCCCTTCCAGCTGAAAATGTTAAGGTTCTGTTGCTCACCTTTTTTCCCTGGGGGATGGTTTGTTGATGGGGATGGGGGTAGAAAGAAGAGTACCCTGGCTGGGACTAGACCGGGCTCTGAGTTTCTGTCATTCTTTATTTACTCTTCCCTTTTTAATAGGAGTAATAGTCATGTTTTTATAGTGCTTTAATATTTCTAAAGTACTTTCTCTACAACAGACCTTTGAGGTAGCAATAGTATCATAGGATTTAGACCTGGAAGGGGACCTTGGAAGCTATCTACCTCAAGCCCCTCGTTTTACAGACCAGGATGGAGGTCAAGTGACTTTCTTCCATCTCACTAACAGCATGTAACAGTGCCAGGATTCAAACCAAGGTCCACTATATTCAGCACCATTCTCGTTTTAAGATGAAGAGCCTGAGGCCTAAAGAGTAAAAATGACTTTGAGATCTGAGCTGTAGAGCTGCTGTTAGAGTCGGGATTTGCACTCAGGTCTCCTGTCTCCAAGCAGAGGGACCTTTCTAGTACATTGTATTCCCCTGTTGTTCTCCTGGATACACCTGACACCTGCTTCTCACCATCATCCCATTCTATGGTCCTTCAAAGGTGCTCCCTTGGCCCCAACCTCTTCAACCCCTTTTTCCTGGTAAGGTCTCATTGGTTTTTCTCTTCTCATTCTGTCTTCTCTTCACTTCCTTCAACAAAAATTCCCTGAATTCTTAGACTGTTCAAGGCCTTGTAATGGGAATTGGCAGTCGGGTGTTAAGAGGGGCTAATCCAGGGGCTAAAGACAAATGAGATCAGGTTCCAAGGTGATGGTGGTGGGGGCTGGATATCTAAATAGCAATTTACAGCAGCAGTGGACCTCCAAGGGTCTCCGGGGTCCCTGACACCCTTTCAGGTGCTCCTTGAGGTCAAAACGATTTGTATCATCACAATAAAAATGTTTTCATTTTGAATACCATAAATATTGATAGATAAGACCCACATAAATGAAAGTTCTTTAAAAGGGGGGGGTCTTCAATCTTTATGAGTGTAAAGGGGTCCTGAGACCAAAAATTTGGGAATTGTGGATCTAAAGCTCTTTCGTGAGTATCCGGTGTTTTTATTTGTTATTAATACTTGTTGACTATATTAATAATTAATTAGCTTGGGCTGGGGTAGAGAAAAGAGTGTGGGTTTTGGAGTCGGGAGGACTTGGGTTCAAATTCTAGCTCCAACCCTTATTAGCTGTGTGACTATGGGCAAGTTTCTTCCCTTCTCTGAAGTTTCTGAATCTTCATCTGTAAAATGGAGATAATATCTATAGAAATGTGAGCTGTAGTGGTTAGAGCTGGCATTTTTTCAAGCACTTTAACTCTTAGTTGAAGGATTCCCTTACAACCACCTTGAGAAACAAGTAAAGAACATAAAGCTTGGAGCAGTGAACTGGAGTAAGTTGCTTAGGGTAACAGATAACAGAGCAGAAGGATCTGTGTCTTCTGATTTCAAGTCCTGAGCTCTTTTACCACTGTTGAACTGTAACCCAAGGGGCTTTGCCGTTGACAAGCACCCCTTCATCCATTAGCACTCACATCTTCCCAGCATTCCTTGGCAACAAGCAAATTGGCATCTCATTGTCTCAGAGGGTGTAAGCCCGCTTGTGTTCTGACGTGTCCTATCTTTTAGTGTTTAGCTGGCCATAGGATGGTAGGGTCATAGATTTAGAACCAGAAGTGATCTTTTCCAACTTCTTTATTTACAGATGGGTAAACTGAGGTGGAGAGAAATTGAGTAACTTAGCCTTGTTCACACATCCTCACAGCAAGACTAGGATTTGAACTTGGGTCCTTTGACTCCAAAAAGCCAGAATTTTCCACTCTTACCACCTTGCCTAATCTGTTCTAGTCTTCCATTTTAGAGATGAGGAAACAGGTCTAGGGAGGAGGAATGAGTAGCCCAGTGTGTCTCAGCTAGGCAAAGACTAGAATTGAGATCTCCTGATACCCTAGCCCAGGCTCCTCCCACTGTGTTGTGCTGTCTCAGACCCTATCATTGTCATCCTCGATGTTTCTGGAGTAATGGCCTTTGGAATTGAGGAACTGGATTTCTAAAAACATAGTATAGTGGAAAGCACCTCTTTTTAGGAGTAAGGCTATCTGGGTTTTAGTTCTGGTTCTTTCAGTGTTTTTGGCTGTAACTTGGACAAGTTACTCCCTTTCCTCAGTCAGTCAACCAGCATTTATTAAGGGCCTACTATGTGCTTAGCACTGTGCTGAGTTTTGTAAAAAAAAAAAAAGGGGGGGGGAACCTCAAACAACCGAATTCTTGCTCTTAGAGAGCTCACAGCTTAATGATGGAGACAACATGCAAATGACTATGTGCAACCAAGATATATACAGACTAAATTAGAAATAGTCATCCAAGGGAAGGGACCGTGGAAGGCCTGAGAAAGGTTTCTTGCAGAAGATGAGATTTTAACTGAGACTTGAAGGAAGCCCGAGTTGGAAATGAGCAGGGAGAGAGTGCCAGGCCCTGGGCCAGCTCTCAGCCTCAGTTTCCCTACTCAAATGAGAGGATATGTTGTTAGTTAAAGCTTCCTAGACAGATACAAGGTCTATTGTAAGCCTGATGCTCTTTCTACCAAGGGAAAGGCCAGAGGCCTTTGTGTTTGCTAATATTCAATTCAATTTAATTCATTTTTACTGAATTCATTAACCTTTGTACCAGGCAGTGTGTTAGGTGCTGGGGATAAAAAAAAAGGACAAAAATGAAACGATCCCTGCCCTCAAGGAACTTACGAACTGCTGGGAGAAGACAGAGACATACAAAATATATGTACAGTAACTTTGGGGGCAGGGGTCCTACTACTAAGTGGGGAAATATGGCAAGTTCTTATGTGGGAAAGGGCATGTGCATTGTGCCTTGAAGGGAGTTAGGGATTGCAGCTTAGATGGCACAGTGGATAGAGCACCAGGCCTGGAGTCGGGAAGATTCATCTTCCTGAGTTCAAATCTGGTCCCAGACTTTCTAGCTTTGTGACCCTGGGCAAGTCACTTCACCCTGTTTGCCTTAGTTTCCTCGTTTGTAAAAATGAAGTGGAGAAAAAAATGGCAAACCACTCCAGTATCTGCCAAGAAAACCCTAAATGGGGGCAACTAGGTGGTGCAGTGGATAGAGCACCAGCCCTGGAGTCAGGAGGACTCCAGCTGTAGACACTTGCTAGCTCTGTGACCCTGGGCAAGTCATTTAACCCTGGTTGCCTTCACCCTTCCAAAAAAAAAAAAAAGAACCCCAAGTTCTTGAAGAGACAGACATGACTGAAACAACTGAACAACAGCAGGGAAAAGTGGAGAGTGAGAGCATGCCAGGCATGGAGAAGAGCATGTACAGCTGGGAGGTGGGAGAATGCCATGTAGGGAAGCAAAGAGTCCATTTCAGCTGAAATGTAGACTATGTGAAGGTGAATGATATCGACAACAATTAAAGTCAACAAGCATTTATTCAGTGCCTTCTTTGCGCCAGGCACCGTCCTAGGCACTGGGGATTCAAGAAAGGCATAAAACAATCCCTGCTCTCCAAGAGCTCAGGAGGGAAGACAACGTGTAAATAACTATGTACAAACAAGCCACAGACGGGGTCAATTGGAGGTAAGAAGAACCCAATCTAGAAAGATAGGCCGGATTCAGATGGTGAAGGACCTGAAATGTCAAGCAGGGGCAGGTGTCTTATCCTGGAGGCAAGAAGGAGCCAGGGGAGACACTGCAGTGAGTGAGTACATGTTTAACCTTTTGCTTTCGGGATGCTGATTTGGCAGCTATCTAGAGGGTATATTGAGGAGGGGAGAGACTGTAGGCGGGGACACCTGTTGGGAATCTCTGTAGTGCAGGGGAGAGGTGATAAGGATCTGAGCTAGAGCGAAGCTGTGCGAGTCCAGAGAACGGGACACATGTGAGAGATGTTGGGGAGGTAGAATGGATGTGACTTGGCAACTCATAGGATACGGGGAGTAGGGCTGAGAGAGAGTAAGAGTTGACTGAGTTTGTGATAATCGGAAAGTTGATGATGCCTTAAGCAGAAGTGGGGAAGTTAGGGAAAGGAGAGAATTTTGG